TAAATAAATTTTATATCTTTTGCTATTAAAAGTTAATAAAAGTCCAATAATTGTAATGATAAAATTAATAAAATAAATAATAATAATAATTTTTAGATATTAATTATGATTGTCATGTATAGTATTTTTTTAAAAGATAAGCATTAATTGGTGTTTCTAATATTTGTCCTTCAATGGTACGAAGTTTGTATACATCTGGTGCTATTCTTTGATAGATAAAGTAAGGTTCTTTTCAATTTGGTAAGAATTTTTCTGTGAAACTCTTATCTCTAGCAGCATCATAATACAAAACTTATTCTTCTTTTTCGAACAGTTTTCTTACTTTCTTTATCTTTTTGTCCCAGTAGAACTTTTGTTGTTGTTGTGATCTATCAATATTGTTTTTGGCTATTTCTCGTTTAAAGAGCAGATCTTCTATGAGAGTATATAATCTTGTCAAGAGAGTTTCTTCTAATATTTCTTAAGATAGGTATTTTTAGTTCTCTTCTAGTCTGAATTTTTCTTAACATCAGGTTTAAAAAATAAAGCTTTAGCTATACTTTTACTATTTAAAATAGTAAAATTTTTCTAAACAATATCTTAAAAGTTATTTGACCTAATTGATTGTTTTGATTGTCCAAATTTTTTGATATAAGAATAAGTATAGTAATATGAAGATATATACTCTATTCAAATAGTTCATATTTTAGATATAAGAATAAGTATAGTAATATGAAGATATATACTTTATTCAAATAGTTCAAATTCCATACACAGTATTTATTAGACTCGCCAGTACTAGGCTATATACATGTTTTACAGATTTTTCAAAATCAATATCATGCACAGTACTTATTAGACTTGCCAGTACTAGGCTATATACGTGTCTTACAGATTTTTTAAAATCAATATCATGCACAGTACTTATTAGACTCGCTAGTACTAGACTATATATATGTCTTACAGATTTCCAAAATCAATATCATGTACAGTATTTATTAGACTCACCAGTACTAAACTATATATGTGTCTTACAGATTTTCCAAAATCATTATATCTAATTTTACAGCATGCTTAACAATTATTTCTATGCCATTGTCAGGATAATTACAAGACTTATTGCTAGGTTCCCTTATGTCAAGCAAAAACGGACCACCCCAGATCTGTTACCAATGCTCTGACCCTCCCGATCTCACCTATAATGTTATACAAGCACGTGTCTATTATTCCACACAACACTTATAAAGCAAAAAAAAAAAGGTAAATTTGATCTTCTTCATATCTGTATATTGAAAGAAGAAATTCTGTTATAAAGTTCACTTACTTTTGAAATTATACGTTTTTAATATAAAGTTTTGTACAGAACATTCCCAGAACTTACATTAGACTCTTGTATTAGACTCTTGTAGACTCTTGAGTCTAAAAAAAAAAAAAAAAAAAAAAAATATATATATATATATATATATATATATGCGAAGATGAACAATCATGTGCAAAAATCGGCTAACAATAAGCAAGAACCTACTAATGAAAAACTCACGAATAAACAAGATCAAGGGCTTACCAACGAACAAAATAAAGAATCCACCAGTGAACAACTCACAGATGAACAAGAACCTACCAGTGAATTTGAATTTAATGAGGATGAACTTTCTGACGATAGATATGAGTCTGATAATGATGAATTACGAGCAGAACTCGCCAATATGTTAATAAATCATACCCAAACTCACTCTAGCATGCAATTGTTATATGTTCTTGAGGAAAAGGAGGGTATCGCAGATTTACATTACCTCTTAGTTCGTACCGTAGTTGGATAGTTGAGGAGGAAAAATCCAAAAGTATAAATTTTGTGAAAAAATATAGAACCTATAAGAATAAAAATGGATCCTGGTCTGAATATTATCTCTGTTCACGCGCGAGTAGTAAGCAAATTAGGAATGATCATGTAGAAGGAGGTGTTTCGCAAAAAAAAAGGCGTATACAAAAAGAATCAAAGAAAGTTGGCTGCAACTGTGCATTGCATATTCGATACCAACCATCTTTTTATAATAAACTTGTTATCATTAATTATTGGTATAGGCATAATGGGCATATTTCTGGTAGTCGCAGTGATGTTTAATATCTAAAAAATCAAAAGAAATTATTTCTGAAATTAGAAAGTTCGCCTAACAAGGGTTGTCTATTTTGGCAATTCAACAATTAATAAAAGCATCAGAAGAAACAACAGAAAAGTATATTTTATTTATTATTTATATTTTATATATGTTATGCGTCAAATTAATAATGCTTTAGATTAAAATAATTATAATCCCGCTAATATTTACCCTAACCCTAACATAGAATTCACTCTAACTCTAATTAAACTTAATATTTAATTTTAATCTGACGCAAATTTTAACTTGATGTACAATATATATATATTTTAAAAAAATTTTTTTGAATAAAATCAAAATTTTTTTGATTAAAATCTTAGATATTTTGTTTCAAATGAAGTTGTTCCGAAGCGAGACGAGTTACTCACATATGAGGACATATATAATATAATTTACAAAGAAATTCATATGAAGTATCGATATAGTGGTCTCAAAATGAATAGCGTACGACAATGGGTCGAAATTCTAAAAAAGAATAGAGAAAAATGTGCCAATTTGCATAATCCTATACTTTCCTGCTTTCAGATGTATGGAGAACAAAAATTTATGCTTGGATTCTATATGCTTTGGCAATTTAAGTTGTACGAAAAATATTATGAGGTATTTTGCACAATAGTTCTTAGTTAACATTATGATTGATTTAGATTAGGGTTTGGGTCAAGATTGTTTCTTGTATTTTTGTATGACTCATTTTTATACTTTCATTACTATTATTATTATTA